ATTGCTATAATGCTGTGTGAGCATTTATCTACACGCAGGAGTAATGACTTCCAGTCACTAGACTGGACATTATGCAACATTCTAATGCACATTTTTTCAGATTACATGTAAAATTTGACTACAGAAGATCACGTACAAGTGCTTGGCTTACACAGATAACGCTCCATTTTGCCTCCTGTGCCTGCTTATTTTCACAAGGAATGACATGGGAAGCCACCCTGGTTTTGGTGACAACACCACACCACAGACTAAAGATGGAATTCTTTCTCATTCATGTTGTGAGACTTCTATGTGTGGATAACTAGCAAGTCAGTGCTCAAAAAGAAAACTGCTCAAGGAAATGCTTTGCATGTATAAAGTGCACAGGCTGAAAGCCAGAACTTCCAAACAGCGGAAAACACAGAGTTGTAAAGTCTAAGAAAAACAGCACAAAAAGGGAAGCCATGCAGCTGTGTAAGAGAAAACTGCATTTTTCACACACCTATTGAAACATACAACTTAAAAAAATATTTGGGCGCTTAACCCCTCTTAATGTCAATGAGTTAGGTACCTAAGTGCTATTGTAGATCAGTGCCCAACATCCCAATCCTGTGAGAAATTGCTTTTCCATCAAAGCCCACGAACTTCAGAGTGACTTAGCACCTTGCAGAAGGCAGTTTGGACCTCTTAGAACCAAAATACTCTTAGTTTTTGAAAGGTGAGCATTGCCCCATGATGTTCTCCTAATGACTGCATCATCTTCTTATTTCACACAGATACCAAAACCATCATGCATTATTGGTAGTTAATGTGCAACCCAAGGTAAAATAATTACACCTTCACAGACTGTAGGAAATGTCACAAACATGAACCACGATGAGAAACACAGTGCAGCACTTTTTAAGTATGTAAATAGTATAATGAAAATAGTTAATTTTATAATTAATAATGACAATCATACTAAATATCAGAGATGTTCTAGGTCCCTCATCAAGGCATGTCAGCTACAGCTCTTGGATTAAATAATGGACAATTCAATACAAGAGAAAATACAAGACTCATCAGTATCTTTATTAATTCTGTTAACATTCTAGAGAACAAGAGACTTCCAACATTGTCTTCTGCCTCATCATGCATCAACAACTCCTGAGAGATTTTTGAACTCTTCTGTATCTGGAAATCTTGTTTCACACTAATTTTTCAAAATAAATTATATCTACTCCCTTCTGATGACATAATGAACTGTTATTAACTAAGTGTGGTGGCCTGAGGACATCGGGAACTGGTTTGGATAAAATGTTGTCTACATTAGGATAATACAATAAACAAATAAAATGATGTGTTAAAAGAACAATGCCATCCAATAGCACAGCATACTATATAACTTGGTTGGAAAAATGCTAGAATTAAACCTACGCCTGTTTACCTACACGTATGTGGTGTTTTTAGGTCCTGCTCCCAGAAGATGGAATTTCCTGAGCAGGCTGAAGGAAATACTTGGCAGTTTAAATTCTCAGTTTTAGAAAACTGTTAATTTGCCAAATCTGAAGACACAGACAAAAAAGCCCATTGAAATGAGTACTCTGTCACAGTCGTGTGGGCTGCTCTACACACACTGCAAAAACTAAAGTTGGGAGGCAAAACAGTCACCTGGGTGCCTTTAAACACAGAATGCGTAAATTAGTTTGCAAAGGAAATGTATTTCATGGTAAACTTGGGGGAGAGGGCTCGGGAAGGGGAATATTCTCCGCCCGAGCATTGCTCCCCCACGACGGCGGGCAGCAGCCGCCCTGCAGGGCGCCCCGGCGGCG